TTAGTCCCAGAGCGCTTTCTAGGTCCACAGCCATGGTATTGCCTAAGCACTTGCCAAGTCTGAGGACTCCCTGTTAAGTAGGCTTAGTCTGTACAGTGAAAGTTACTTCATTATTCGCAATGGGTCCATTTTTTAAATTTCCCTCTACTTCCAGATTTACTGTGAAAAGTGTTAAAGCTGATAAAACACCAGCAGGTGCTATCACTGTCCATCCTAAGGCATCTAAACAGGTCTAGGGCACCATCTGACAGATTGAGCACCAAAATTCTCTCTGAAGAGAGAGCCTGCATTTGTGAAGCATTGAAGTCTCCTGCCATCTCACAATTACAAGGCTCTTCTGTGTGACCTCCTTTTGGGCCATACTGCATTTGTGTGCCATTTTATAGAGCATGTGTGGGTCTCAGTCTTTCCACTATTTTCTCAGTTGCACCACCACCAAAATCAAACGTTTGCCTCCTCTGCATGCTGCCTTACAGTGACAAGGTTACAGCTGGCATTAATCCTTCCTACTCCAGTGTTTGAGTACCCAGTGTAAGATATCCCTTACTTGCATATTTAATATGGTGGAACATAAGCTCAAGAGCAGCAGTCCTACAGGCCTTTCCTGTTTTCGATTCACTAACAGATCCAGGGTGGCTTGCAGTGTACCTTCAAAAAATGCACTCCTTCAGCAATAAGTGCCTGGTGTAGGATATCCCTCACTTGTATACTTAGTCTGGTGGAACATAAGCTTAATGGCAGCCATCCCACAGGCCTTGCCCACTTTCAATCCACTAACATATCTGGGGTGCTGTACAGCGTACCGCCAAAAGGTCCCAACATAGCCTGGTTCACTGTCCCTTGATTGAGCCCACACACTTCTCAGGTCTTTTTTTTTTTTTTTTTGTTTAATTCTGCCCTTTAGCTTCAAACCTGTGTGTTAGCCAGGAAGGAATCCTCTGCAATTTTTATATTTGCGTTTATGGGGAACATTTTCCCCATATTAGTTAGTAAAAGCAGACACCCATGTGCCATCCAGAGTCCATATCTAACTTCTGTGTGACAGCAGCTTCACGGGATGGAGTTTGAGCTCTGCAGTCTCTTTTGCAGCAGTTGTTTTCTCTTTCCGGGTCACAATCCTGTCCTTTTTTTTGTCTTTCAGTCAATTGACCATGTCGACCGTGCTTAAAATGTCATATGGGTACAGTGTTGCATGACTGCGCAATTGTCATTCAAAGTGCACGGTGGACATGATTCAGGTGGTGTTCCTTCGGATGTCACCAGAGGGCTCCCTTTTCAAATATCTACAGCAGTGTGCTACACTGATAATCAGGGCACTGAGTGGCAGCGCTGATGGGTATTTTGGGGGTTGCACTGATAATCTGTGCAACCTCATAAATGCACATCCGTGAAGGAGAAAAATTACCTGTTTGCAAACGTTTATAATAGAAACAAACATTTTTTTTTTTTTTCCTTTAGCAAAAAATAAAACACCCGGTGGTGATTGAATACCACCCTGTGCTCTATTTGTGTGAAAAAAAGCTTAAAATGTCATATGGGTAACAGTGTTGCATGTGACTGCGCAATTGTCATTCAAAGTGCACGGTGGACATGATTCAGGTGGTGTTCCCTTCGGAATGTCACCAGAGGGCTCCTTTTCAAATATCTACAGCAGTGTGTGGGAGGAAGTTGGCAGGGTCTTCTGTCTTTTGGTACATCCTTCCAGATTACTGTTACATCTGTTGCCGGCGGTTCCCTGTCATTGCAGAAGTTACAACAAATGTCTCCAATCACTTGTCCCTCCATTAAGACTCCAGCACATTCATAAATTCATCCCAATAGTCCACAATAGATTAGGCCACCTTTCCTCCAAAAAACCAAGACCTTAAAGTGGAAGTTGACTTGCTCAACAGTAAACCGCAAATTAACACATGTACTTAGCACCACGTTTGATTTCTGTGAACTCTATATGGCTGTCCAAAATTGCCGCTATGAAGAAATTTGCATGTATTGCAAAGATGTACTCCATGTTTAATTTTTTTTAAAGGCTGGGCCTTTTAAAGTTTAAAAATATCATCTGTTGAGTCAGCCCTGTCCAGTTTACGTTAAACTACTCAAACCCTCACACTCTTCCTTCTCTTACAACAGAAAGGTTGATCTTTCTACAGTTTCAAGGTGAGCACAAAGAGGGCTAAGCAGCAAGTCCTTGAGATAAGTGTCCAGAATACATAGGACATCTCCAGGTTTTTGTTTTTTTGGTCTGTTTTTTTCCATTTTATCAAACAAGTATAACATTCTTTCAATTGTGTGTTTACCAGACCAAAATGGAATAGTAGAACTCATTTTTTTTTGAGCTTACATACTCTTGAAATACCATAAGTATAACTTTTTAAAAAATGTGGTAGAATGACATGGGATTTGACCATTTCCTAGTTTTTTGCTATACAAGGGCTAGGGGCAAGTATATAAACGTTGGCTGCTATCATACAGTCAACGCACCTGCTTATCTTAGAATGTTCTTCACTGCCTTAAATGCTCAGAAATTTGCAGATTACCTATGGGTTCCTGCATATTGATATTGAATAGTTTGATGGCATATAATTAACAAGGGTGGATTTATCTTTTCCCTCTCTCTCTTCTGAAGCTAATGTTTAACTTTCCCATTTTGTTTATTTATCGGGCAGTGCTACAATTGACTGTAAGGGGGCTTGTTCACACTAGCAGGCTGCGCTGTTTGCACAGCCTCTGATGTGCACTGGGTGACAGTGCTGATGCGGCATTTGTAGTTTTATTTTTGTTTTTGTTGCCAAATCCCCCCACAAAAATTTATTGACATGTCATTCATGACAGTAAAGTTCTATTTACTGTTGTGACATTGTGATGCGGTGGTTTGTGTTGCAACCAGCTGCACTGAAGAAAAGTGCTGCAGAAAGTATTTTTACAGCACACACCATAATGCAGTTTTCAGCTGTCTAACCACCCAGCCCCCACCCCCATCACGCTGGGACGATTCACTATTAACAAGCATATCCTCTTCCTTACCAGTTGAGTCTTGTTCTCTGGAACACAGGTCGTCAAGGGATCCTTCTGTAGTTTTAGTCTTCTGAATTTACCATCATCACTCCACTGGACTTCATTTAGGGGACGTCCAATGAAGTGCTTTCACCTTTTAGAATGCTTGGGAACCGTCTGTAAAAGTCTACATACTGGCTTTCTGGGCTGGGCAACTCGTATTGTGCTGTTTGTGACCATTTTGTTTTTCCTAGACTCAGTACACTGCCATCAGCATCCCCTCACCCAATGGTCCCCACATTGAAGAGTGAGGGCCCTTGAGTGCCCCTCTGTTCCTCCTTGGAAGGAAGTATCCATCACTGGAGCGTCCTGTATTCCCATGGATGGTCGGCAGATGGGACATGCTGAAATGCTACTGCAGATTCTCCCTAAGAGGTATAATGAGCCCTTATCGCTGGGAGATATGTCCTTTTTGTGGCCACACTGCAGTCTTCTGGGGAAGCCTCCTCGGATCCCTTCTCCTAATTTCTACCAGGAGAATGTTCCTAGTAATAGTATTAGGAGTTCTCCCCCTCGCCATGTATGCTGCTTCTTTCAGGGGTAGGTTTTGAGAATCCTTGAATCCTATAGCTTGTAAATGGTTAGGCAGGTTACAATGTGATTATCCTATCCCAGGAACACCTCTGGATGTTGGTTGGAAGTGGCCCTTCTCCCTCCTAGTCCTGGTGTTCTGTTTGAACTGCAGTATACCCTCGCAACTGCTTGCCTTTTTTTTTTTTTTTCTTTTTTCTTTTTTTTTTTTACAGTTTGTGGGGGTTGATCACACAATCCTCTCCTTCAGGAAGATTCAGGTTATCACCTTTTCAATGTTTTTTCCAATTTTTAAGGGGAAAGCATTAAAGGGTACTAAACTTGAACCCTTTTCTCCTATCTATTTAGGTTTTATGCTGTGAGGGCTTTTCCCCCATGACTATCTTGTTTGTTGTCTACTTTATCATGGAACCTCCCATATCCCCTGAACCCAAGGTTTAGGAGTGTTAAACTTGAGCCTCCTGTTGTTGACCAGTTGATCTTTCATTTAAACATGCAATGTTTGCCCTTTCTTTCCTGAATTGAAGGGTTAGGTATATATATATATATATATATATATATATATATATATATATATATATATATATATATATATATATACTTTTATATATTTTTGCCATTAAAACCGTTCGTTCCATGGTATGTCTCTTTGAAATTCCCATTAAGGAACTGGTAATGTTCTGGGACTTTGGCCCAGAAAAAAAACTTTGTTGGCCTCCTTCCCTTGGTTCTGGCAATGCTAAATTTTGCTTGGCCTTTTCTTCATATTCCTTTGTCCCTCAATGGCTTTTTTTTTAAAAAAAAATTAAGATTTTGGTACTTCAGTAAAAATTTTATTGAAATCCAGCGTGGGTGACAGGTCCCGTCCCTCCTTTTTTTTGTTGGCCCTATATATCGTCTGCTTATAAAACTGAGGCATAAAGGGGCTGGAGGCATAAATATACAGGGGCTGGCTTCAGCATTTTTTATTGACAATGTCTCAACCTCCTGTAGGCAGCAGTATAACCTGCTGTTTAGCAATTCCTCATGTCCCTCATTGAAGAAAAATATTTTAGGATAAATACAAAAATCTTATGTTCCTATTCATCTAAACAGAATTTTTTTGTGTGCAAAATTGCCTGGTTAAAAAATGTGCTAATGTGGATATTAGAAGTAGGCCGTTGGTAGGGTAGCAACTATCAGACCTCAATGATCTTTGACCCCTGACTGTCCAACGCAAGATTGGCTGGATCCAAAAACTATATTGGATCTCCCAGTGAACTGGTCTGTAGTGGAGAGTGCAGTACTATTGCACAAAAGGGCTAAGGCTGGGCACTTAACACTAAATCCAAGAGGAACAAAATAACTGCTTATATGTTGCTATTCTAAAAAAGGCTATTTAAAACTAAATGAGAATTTGTCATGTTGTTGTGTTATAGACTGGACAAGAACACGAGCTAATAGAGAGTATGCCTCTACTAGAGTGGTTTGCGAATAACTACAAAAAATTCGGAGCAACACTGGAGATTGTTACAGACAAGTCACAAGAAGGATCACAATTTGTGAAAGGATTTGGTGGTATTGGAGGTAAATGTATAATACAATTATACGGAATATAGTGTTGAACTTTTAGCATATATAAAGTAATTGGTTGTGTGATTACAGTAACTGAACATCATCCAAAGAATTTAGCACTGAATGAATGGGACCTCAGTATCTGAAAAAGTTAATGGCACAAAACTGATTTTTTTTGGTCAGTGACTTTAATATTTTATCTAGAGTGGGCCATTACAATATCTTATGTCATAACAAAATCCTTGCACTAACCAGAAACCGTTTTTAAAGGTAAAACTTTTTTTTATACCTGAATTGGATTCCCTGCATTAAGGTATAAAATGTTTTATTTCTTGCTCTGCTCCCCCACCTTTCTAAATACCTGAGTTCTCAGTTGATCCTGCGTTCTACATGGACGCATCCTATTCTCTCCCCCTACTCACAGAGACCTGAGGCAGTAGCGGGAGCCATTGGCTCCTGTTGCTGTCAATCAAATGCTGTGGAGGGTGGGTCCGAGCAAGTGTGTGTATACACAGTCTAGCTCAGGATCAAGCCCTCTCAACTGCCCTTATAGCAAGCTGTTTGCCATTGAGGCAGATGAAGAAGAGGAGCAATAACATTGCATGGAGCAGGATAATATATGATTATTTTTAATTTAAAAAAAAAATAATTTAGAGACTCTTTAAAATCTCATTTCACTACTTAATGGAAGGAAAAATCATGCCCACCCATACTTTTTTTTTTTTTTTTTTTTTTTTTCCCCAGATCCACGATCTGATGTAAAATGGCATTTTAGCATTTATTAAAAAGCAAAATATCTGGTTTGTGGCACAGCTTCTTGGTAAATCAGCTGTTGTATTGAATATGAACATGCTGATTCAAGTGATCATCAAAGTTGAGCTAATAGATTTGAAGTAGCTAAATTTAATAACCAATGTAGCCACTACTGGCTACGTTCTAACATTTTTGACTGGCACCTTCAGTCAGATAAAGTTATTGTAACCATCTTATTGTATTATTCATGTGTTGCTCCTGAAGCATTTCACCAAAGCTGGCCCCACTGATATGTTTGATCCATGTGTACCTGCTCCCGCTCAACAGAAGTCGATGTAACGACTGACTGGAAAATGTTCTCATTTGGCGGCTGCAGCACATTGGTTGGGCGCTGATTAGTGTATTCTGACAGTGGAGAATCCTTGCTGTCAGAATATGTCTCAGTGGGAAAAATTCTTCAATTGTGTAGATGGAGGAATCTGCTCTTCTTCTTTTTTTTTTTTTTTTTTTTTTTTTTTCCTCTCCCCCAAATGGGAAAAAAAAAAATCCATCTATGGACCAATGAAGCCAGGTTTGAAAGTATTAACCTCCTTTTTGGAGCTCCTGAATTGCTGAATTGCTCCTGAATTGCCACATATACCATATACCGTGGCAAGAAAAAGTATGTGAACCCATTGGAGTCAACTGGTTTTCTGCAATAATTTACCATACAATGTGATCTGATCTTCATCCAAGTCACTAAAATAGACAGACACAATGTACTTTAATCTGATAACACACAAACAATACTAATTTCTTGTGTCTTTTTCCTTTCCTGAGGTTATTCCACAGCATCTCTATGGGGTTAAGGTTTGGGCTGTGACTTGTGACCACTCCAAAAGGCACATTTTCTTTTCTAGAGCTTAAGGTCATGGTCCTGCTGCATCACCCAACATCTACTTGGCTTCAGCTGGTGGACAGCCACCCTGACATTATCCTGTAAGATATTTTGTTAAACTTGGGAATTCATGTTCCTCTTTGATGGCAAGTGGAATGACGGGGAAAAAGTATTGAACACGAAGAAATGGAGTTTCAAAAAGGCATGGAAAGCCAAGACACCAGCTGAAATCTATCAGTAATTAGCAATCCTGTCCCTATCAGTGCAAAATAATATCAGCTGGTTCAGCCGCAACTGATGGCCTATAAAAAGGTGTCTTATTATTAAGGTATCACACAAACATCTGATGATGGGTAAAAGCAAAGAGCTCTCTCAAGACCTTCTCAATCTTATTGTTGCAAAACATACTGATGGCATTGGTTACAGAAGGATTTCTAAACTTCCAGTTCTAGTGAGCACTGTTGTGGCCATAATCTGGAAGCGGAAAGAACATAATTTCATCATAAACTGGCCATGACCAGGTGCTCCTTCGCAAGACTTCTGACAGAAGAGTAAAAAGAATTGTCAGAAGAGTTGTCCAAGAGCCAATGACAATGTCAATAGTACCTTTAGAAGCATATTTACAGAGAAAAATGGTGATGTGTCCAATAATTACTTATTTTTTGCTGCTGTATTTTCACAGTTTGGTTGATGTTTTGATGTTGGTAAGCCGTGCCCTTTATGCGCCATACATAATGCTGCATATTCTTCCCGAACAATTCAGCTTTTGTTTCATCGGTTCACAAAACACTCCCAGTAGCGTTGTGGTTTGCTGAGGTGCTCTTTGGCAAACTTCAGGTGAGCAGCAATGTTTTTTTGTGAACAGAAGCAGCTTCCTCTGTGGTGTTCTGCCATGGACACTCTGCCTGTTCAAAGACTTGTGTATGGTAGACTAATGAACAAGCATGTTTGCCAGTTCCAGTGATGTCTTCAAGCCTTTAGCTTTTACTCGTGGGTTCTTCTTTACTCTGTGTTGTGCCTTGGGAATCATCTTGGCTGGGCACCCATTTCTAGGAAGCGTAGCCACAGTACTAAACTGTCAATTTATCGACAATTTTTCTAACTGCTGACTGATGGATGCCTAAACACTAAGATTGTTTTGTGTCCCCGATCACTTATTTTGAACGTATCAGTCGTGACTCTCCCAGGTGTAGGGGTTTTATCTCGGATTTATATTGCTCCTTTTCGATTGCCATCTTTGCCGCACCCTCCTTTTATAGACAGAAATGGGAGGCTGATAGTGGTATTACATTCTCAGAAGAGGACTGGGAATCCATGGTGGATAATATACGCAAAGAATCTAGGTCTCTTTCAGTTTGTGAGACGGCCCTTAAAGTTTTAACCAGTTGGTATTATACCCTCTCCAGACTAAATAACATGTTTCCAGGAACGTCGCACCTCTGTTTTAGGGGTTGTGGCCTTGCTGGCACTCTGGTGCATATGTTTTGGGCTTGCCTTGGTCTTTCTTCAATCTGGTGTAAAGTTTCTGAGGTGGCCTTGGCCCTGGCAGAGCAGTGTATACAGTGAGCCATTGCTAAATGTCACCGCAGGTTTTTTAATTTTCCCTATGCTATAGCTCAGAGAAGGAGCTGTCATTCTCCCTGCTACTAAAGGAAATAAAGGGGCAGGGTCACACAGTGATCCCACACCCTAAAATCCTTGCAATGGCAAGAATGACAGCTCCTTCTATAGTAAAGGGAAAAAAGCTGGTAATCATATTTAAAAAACTGGCAGTGACATATAGGGGCAGCCTGTGTGGAAGCCTGAGGGTTTCCAGTGCTCCCTCACTATGCACTGCTCCTCTCCTGCCCCCTCCTTGCATGCACTGCTGCCCCAGCCTCTCCCCACTCCCACATACACAGACATTTAGGTTTTCGGCCACATGCATTCTGAATTTTTGGTATCTGTTTCAGCACCAGAATTTTCATTTCGGTGCACCACTAATTTGAGTGTATTTTCTCAAAGTAGCTCTAAGGCTAGGCTCACACTTGCCTGCAGCCTGTGGGTTGTTTGCAGGCGCAGGAATCTCACCTGTTCCTGCACCCGCAACCAAAAAGCACTGCTGTATAGAGAGACTCATTCATTCTGAATTGCACCCCCACACATCTCGGCCCACAGCGTATTTGCATGTTTAAGACCACTGGGAAATCTCATGCTCAAAAAGATTTTACATTTTTAAAAAGGCACATGCACCTTTTACCTGCGGGAAACGGGGGGCACAGCAGCCCATTCAAATGTGGACTGCCGTGCCTGAGCAAACACAGGTTGTAAACCTAGGCAAAAGCACAGCTCCAAACTCATTTCCACAATTGGATTCCAGGTGGGCAAACTACTGGCTCCAATTTTAGCTTTTTTGAAGTAATTAGTCTATGGGTTCACTTAGTTTTTCCTCTTGTCTTGTTTAATGAGTTTGTTCAATAAAGAGATGAGAAATTAGAATTGTGTTTATCAGGTTAAGCACATTGTTTTTGTCTATTGTTGTGACTTAGATGAGGTTCAGATTGACAAATTACTGCAGAAAACCAGTTAATTCCAAAGGTGTCACAAACCCTTTCTTGCCACTGTATTTGTGTTTTAAATGCTTTAAAAGTAACTAGGGAAAATTTTGTGTAAAAGCTGTGTACCAGAAAAAAAAACTTGCAGTATTTCAATCAGTAAACGTGTACATTTATTTCTCTGGCTAATAATGTCTCATGAAAAAAATTGTTTGTTGCAGGTATCTTGCGGTACAGAGTTGATTTCCAAGGAATGGAATACCAAGGTGGAGATGATGAATTTTTTGACCTTGATGACTACTAGGTAGTCGACACGGGTTTGGCAAATGTGTGTGCCTAACCCTCCAGCATCCAACCCAAGAAGAAATTTTGTGGTGAAAGACATACATGTCCCTGCCTTAGAATTTGAACATTTCCAGTACTTTGTCTATAAGCATTGGATATAAGAAATAAAATTCTGTTTTGTCATAATGTAGAGTGAATGCATCTGCAAGGTTCATTCATGCCGCCTGGACATGTTTGACAAATCAGTTTTTACTTGAGAAATCAGTTGATCTTGTATTCTATTATTTTTTATCTTTATACACAGGCAGATACAATGCTTCAGCTATCCATGCAAATTAACACCATGTTTAATTTTTATTTTTTTTTCTGCATAATGGGAAAACTGTCGAATTTTATATTATCTTTGGGACAAACAGCGGGACTAGCACACATTTTAAAGTTTAAAATTGTATAGCAGACATTTGCAAAATAGATTGTAATCAATTTGCGCTACCTTATTTTGGGGGGAAAATGCTATCCACTGACCTGGTAAAAACTTTTCCTTGGAATAAAAATTAAGCTATGTCCCAGATGCAAATTATTCCATATCTTTGCATGATGCAGTGCAACATAAAAATTTGCAATATGCCACACAGGGCATGCAGAATGCACAGCATTCACTTCTCTAACTTAAAATAGGAGATATCCGAATTATGTCCAATGTCTGATAAAGAGCATGGAAAGTATGTATGGTAACCCTTTTACAGCCACAGCAGTTAACCGATATAATTTAGCGGGGAAAACAAAACTTAAAATGCCTGACATTAATGATTCTTTGAACTGGTTGCTCAGTTTTATTAATGTATTTTATTAAGTCATTTTTGTGACTTATTCCCAAGTATAACCATTTACTCTTCTAGGTCTGTAACTGCAGGTGTGTTGCATGATTTCTTTAAAGTTCATATTGTGCTTCCAAAAGCATCTAACACACAGGAAAGTACACAAGTTCCCTTGTAACGTTTAATTGGGCATAATTTGCTGTCCATTAGTATATGAGCTTTAAAATGAAGAAATAAAATTCCAGTAGATGCATATGCACTGTGGATGGATAGCCCATTTCTCTGTTGTTGATCTTTTATATTTGAGAGAGTTTCATTGCTGTAATTGCTTTTTTTTTTTTTTTTTTAATGCTTAAAGTTGAACTACAGGAATGTAACAACCCTCCACAGCAATGCAAGGATTAAATTCTTGTTCAGTCTAGGGGGAGCTGAACAGTCATTATTACTTACCTCACTCCTCACTCAGGCATTGTCCTCCTCTCCCCAGAGCTCTGGTCTTCGAATGGGGCCTCTGCGCCTCATGTGCAGTGCTGAGCTATTAACCATGTATGGTACATGGTTGGAGGGTGAGCATGCAATCACAGCCGAAGAACCTTATGAGGTTGCTGGGGACTGGTTGCATGGATTAAGGGCACCTGCCAGAGCCAGGAGTAAGGGTGAGTACTTCTGATCTATGGCCCCTAGAATAAACAAGCATTTAACCCTGGAGGTTGGGGGGGGGGGGAGGGGGGCACTGCAAGGATTTCCTTGGAGACATTCCTGAAGGTTCGCTTTTAATATACTTACAGAAAATGTGGGATTTTGTTTTATACAAGAGGTGTTTCTGTCCTTTGATTTCACTTGAGAAATACAGAACTCAGTCATTAAATAATCCTTTGAGAGCAGATTTAAGCAGCAGTCCTAGATTGGTGATGCCATATGTTACAATGTGTAACTTTCTTTCTGGTAGTTGTCATTCTACTTCTTAGATATTGCAACTGCAGTGGAACTTCTCTTACAGGAGACTATGCACAGCTTCTGCCCCATACCACAATTCAGTGCCCAGGTCCACAGCATAGCCCTGTAGGAGTTCTCTAAGCAGCACTGGAGTGACATATGCTAAGGGGTTATGCCACCTTGTACTGCTGGCCTACAGGTGTACTTGCAATTCTGACCAGTGTCACAAATTGGCAGTCAGCACAATATTCTATTTCACTGCACTCAGTGCTTGCTAGCGCCTAAAGGCTACAACCACTTGTGTTAAATGTGGTACATTTGGATGCTGACATTGTTCTTTTGAATACTAAAACGCATGTGTGTGCTCCTGTATGAGGCATTGAGACAATAGAAGGCACCAAACAAAATATCTCATTTTCTTAATGTCTGTAGAAGCCAACTTGAATGAATGTTGCATGGGTTTAGTAGATCTGTTTTTCATATTTCTGTATTCCTCAAGCTGAAGGTTACTGGCATGGTTAAAAGTCCTTAATCTGGGTTTTTTACAGATGCATGTACACATTGTTCTATTTGAGTTCAGTAACACCTCATGTGCTATGGTCTCTCCAATTTAAAAGCAAAGTTTAATTTTTGACTAAAATGGCACATGGAGACAAGGAGTCCCATCTTATTAATGCCCTTTTGCAAAATATAGTTTAAGGTGTGTGGCAAACCTGTAGGCCTGTGTGCACTTGCGCAGTGCAGTCTTTGAACAGAGCACTGCGCATGCATGACTTTTGGGGGGGGGGGGAGCACTAGGAACGAGCAGCCAACATCTTAAGTGTCAAGATGCAATCAGGGACAAGATCATTTAAACAATAAAGGAGTATATCTTCCAGGCTTGGGGATGCCAGCACAGGTCTGAAATGGCACAGGAGATTTTTTACATGATGAGGCCCTTTATCCATAAGGGCAGTTTTTGTCAAAAGTTAACTTGGTCTCTAAGCAAGAGAAAAACAAACATGAATTAAAATAGCCTTGTACACAAAGCCTCATTGTCCCCTAAGACCACTCTGTAATACTTATTTTGTATGTTTAATGATCTCTAAAATAAGTACTTCAGTGTCATTATCCTTTTTTTCAGAGTTGGCAAACTGCTTGATGCCATTGTATATGGGTATATTGTAGAGATTTAGAAAAAAAATCAATTGGATGTATATTTGCATTGGTTTGGAAAGATTCTACTTATTCCACAACATTACTGTAATATTCAATGCGTTAGCCTTTTTCCTTTTTGCTATATTTGGAAATGATGCCAAAATTTTTATATTTCCTTAATGTGTTCTTTTCAGTGGCACATCATATACATATATGTACAAAAAATGGGGTACAATTCTTAACTTTATCCTCAGATTGAGTGTTCCCAAGCAGTAATAACTTGGTGTTGTGATGTACAGAAATGGAGAAAAGTATTAAACCATATTTAAGAATACTTGTTGCAGTGTTTTCTTTCCATTATGTAGTAATTTGTTCCCCCTGTTTGAGCTTGTTGTAAGCAGTGTTTCCTTTTGCTCCACAAAAGAAGTGAGAGATTGATTTTCCCACCTGAACAGGACAGAAAAACCATTAAAAGTCCCACCCCACCCTTGCCTCAAATTTTTTTGAATTTTTTTCTGTCAGGACAAGATGTGAACATATTTTTTTTTTTCATGGCTCCTCAAGAAGTCATAGGCTTTTGCTTTTAAAGCTCACATAGCCAGCAAAGCTCACCTAGCTAGCAACCACACTGGTTTAAAGAGTTGGCATTACAGTCTTCACGTGGGATGATTCCTGAACATGGGTAAGGCTTGCAAATTGCCATACGGCAGGGCATCAGCAGATCACAGTAGAAAACTAAATTTACTAGCATACTGAGTATGCTATTTGAGCTCACCCAGTGGTGAGGTAAGTGGGGGATAAAAGCAGAATTAACAAAGTGATAACTTTTAATGAAAAGCCAGCTGCAACCATGAGCTTTTTAACCACTTCAGGTCTCTATGGATGGCAAGTAGCAAAGCTGTACCAACCATGATACCACTGATGCTTATTGCAACTTTTTTTTTGTTAGGGTTGAGTTTTGCAGCCCAAAGCCTATAGGGAAAAATATACCTCTGCCCTAGACCACTCTTCTGCACCATCATATGATTGTAAAACCTCAGTCCATTACATTACCAGCCTCAACACAGCTCTAACACATTGTTAGATTTTTTTATTCTCAAAAAGTGACAAAATAAGGCATTAAATTCTTACCTCACCACACGTTTCTTCCATATCACTTCCTGACTCGCCCAGTTCTACTGATTTCTTCTCTCTCCCACTTCTCTGTACTTGACTCTGCATCTCTGATTAAATTATTATTTTACAGGATTTATATAGCGCCAATAGTTTGCTCAGCGCTTTACAATATAAAGGGAGACAATACAGCAACAATACAGTTCAATACAAAAGGGATAGGAGGGCCCTGCTCTTGGAGCTTACAATCGAGGATTGGAGTATAATATGAAATCTTCCACCTGCATACTCTAACCGTTTTATTTAAATCCTGTTTTAGTTCTCAATGCCCCATTATCTCAACCTTCGCAGCGGTCCTGTACCAACAATCCTTTAAATTGTCTATTTTTATCTTTTTGGCGGGGGGGGGGGGGGGGGGGGTAGGTACTGTGGCAGTTTTAACAACTTTCATCCCATATCTAAATTACCCTTCTTTGCCAAGATCCTTGAGCGATATCTTTCATAACCAGCTGCCTTTAAATAACCTATTCAAACCCCTAGTAGTGGCGTCCACCCTCTGATGAATTGCCGTAGCACGAAAGGCCTCAGGAGGAGCCAGTAGCAAGTGTGACTTCCTGACCACTGAGACCATGAGGAGGTCCAGTGGTCTCTGATCTTTTACCTCTGCCGGAAGGGGGATCCCTGTCTACCTATCATTTGGGGCGAGAGGGTCTCTGGATCTGGAGGTATTGCTGCACCCAAGGCTGATGTCAGTATGTAAGAGGGATGATCCATGTGTTTTCTGGAGCTGCATGCCTGGCTGGTCTTCTTGATTAAATCACACACCGGCGCATTTAAAATGTGCGGTCGGTGAGTGCGCATTTTTTCTATTTGATTCCAGTCACCTAATGAGGAGGAGGCCTGCACATATTTGATTTTATTGTGAAAAAGACTCTATGAACTATTTTATATGATTTTATAATTTTTTAATCACATTACAGCGCTGCACTATATATATATATATATATTATATATA